TTTCTGAGCTGGGAGGAGATAAGAAAAGGCCAACTGACCAAGTTTTGAGCTTCATATTTTGTTTTATTATGAAGACAATAAAAATTTGAAATTGTTTACTTGTACAAAACACAAAGTCAGGCACACACACATAGCACACACACTCCAGAAGTGACACAGTGAGACTTGAAAAAGCAATAGAAAAAGAGACAATGACAGGCCCATCAGGAGATGAACTTTGGAATAACATCACTGTCTTATCATTTGATTTCATTCTGCCTTGAGGGTAGTTACCCTCAGGCAACTGCTAACTTATCTAAAAACATTTGCCAAAAAAAAAAAAATTTTTTTTAAGGATCCCCAAACTCAAACTCTTCTACCTAGACTAATTGATCCATCATTAAAAGAGTGACAACTAGACATTATGTGTCTCCAGAGGTGATGCAATAAGAAGACATGGCACCATCTATGAAATATCTTGGACTAACTGATCTTGGACTGAAAGTGTAAAAATACAAGAATAACAGAGTAAGTTAAACCTCACCACAAGGAAGTAATCAACCTATCTAGAATGTGGGAAACAACATAGGGAAAATGGGAAGGAAAAAAAAAAAAGGTGGGAGAGAGGGAACTCATACAATTTAAAAGAGATTTGACATACATTGACATGAATCAGCCATGGATTTACATGTGTTGGCAAAAACCACTACAATATTGTAAAGTAATTAGCTTCCAACAAATAAAAATAAATGGAAAAATAAAATAAAAGAGATTTGAAAGACCTGTTGGGCTTCTCTTGTGCTCAGTAGTAAAGAATCCACCTATCAATGCAGGAAACTCGGGTTAGATCCTTGACCAGGGAAGATCCTCTGGAGAAGGAAATGGCAACCCACTCCAGTATTCTTGCCTGGAGAATCCTATAGAGGATAGAGGAACCTGCAGGCTATAGGCCATGGGGCCTAAAAAGAGTCAGATATGACTTAGCCACTAAACAAGAGTAACAAGGAAAAATCACTGAGCTAGGGAATCATCACTTAGCTGTGCCCATAAGTGACACATATGACATGATGTCTAAGATTTGCTTTTAAATACTCTAGCTAAAAAAAGAAAATGTTGTGTGAATACCTGAAACTTAATTAGATCATTTTTATTTTAGTTGATTCTGGATGGTGAGCAAACAAGGATTCAGAATAGCATTCTCTTTACTTCTGTGTATGTTTGATTTTTATCTGTTAATAAAAACCTCAGGCACAGTTGTCAACAAGCTTTCCTTTCAATGCCTACTTTCAAAGTTGCTTTACTGTCGTCTTAGAAAACTCCTTGCAGGCGTATTTCCTGTTGCCTGAAGAAACACTCCAGAATTCCTACCAGGAATTCCTTGGAATAGTTTCAGCCTACTTCACTGTTTTTTCAGTCCATGTTGCTGAAACCCCAGAGGAGAAAAGAGTACCTATATGGGGCTTCCCTGGTGGTCCAGTGGTTAAGATTCCATCTTGCAATGCAAAGAACACCTGTTCGATTCCTGGTCCAAGAGGATCCGATTTGCCAAGAAAAACTAAGCCCATGTACCACAACTATTGAGCCTGTGCTCTAGAGACTGAAAGCCACAACTACTGAAGCTCACGTGCCCTAAAGCCTGTGCTCTGCAAGAAGGAAGCCACCACAATGAGAAGCTTGTGCACCGCAGCAAGGAGTAGCCCTCACTCACTGCAACTAGAGGAAATGTGTGCAGCAAAGACCCAGCACAGCCAGAATATAATAAAATAAATAAAGCTTTAAAAAAAAAAGTAGCTATAAGCAGAGGTTCAGTTCAGTCGCTCAGTCGTGTCCAACTCTTTGTGACCCCATGGACTGCAGCATGCCAGGCCTCCCTGTCCATCACCAACTCCCAGAGTTTACTCAAACTCATGTCCATTGAGTCAGTGATGCCATTCAACCATCTCATCCTCTGTCGTCCCCTTCTCCTGCCCCCAATCTTTCCCAGCATCAGGGTCTTTTCCAGTGAGTCAGTTCTTCATATCAGGTGGCCAAAGTATTGGAGTTTCAGCTTCAGCATCAGTCCTTCCAATGAACACCCAGGACTGATCTCCTTTAGGATGGACTGGTTGGATCTCCTTGCAGTCCAAAGGACTCTCAAGAGTCTTCTCCAACACCACAGTTCAAAAGCATCAATTCTTCGGTGCTCAGCTTTCTTCACAGTCCAGCTCTCACATCCATACATGACTACTGGAAAACTATAGCTTTGACTAGATGGACCTTTGTGGCAAAGTAATGTCTCTGCTTTTTAATAAGCTGTCTAGGTTGGTCATAACTTTTTTCCCCAGAAGCAAGCATCTTTTAATTTCATGGCTGCAGTCTCCATCTGCAGTGATTTTGGAGCCCCCAAAAATTAAGTCTGTCACTGTTCCCCCATCTATTTGCCATGAAGTAATGGGACCAGTTGCCAGAATCTTAGTTTTCTGAATGTTGAGTTTTAAGCCAACTTTTTCACTTCCCTCTTTCACTTTCATTGTCTGAAAGATAAATGTAGGGAAGTGAGCGTAAGATGAACTGGGGGTGTGGATTGGAGTATATACATTATTGGCACTATGTATAAAACGGACAACTCAGTGAGAATGTGCTGTATGGCACAGGGAACGCTACTGAGTGTTCTGCGGTGACCTAAACGGGAAGGAAGTCCGAAAAAGAAAAGATACGTGTATATGTATAGCTGATTCCCTTTGCCGTATAATAGAAACTAACACATCACTGTAAGTCAACTATACTCCAATAAAAATTAATCTTTTTAAAAAAGGTAAAAATTAAAAAGATTTTTAAAAAGAAGGATCAATGAGCAGGTACCTAGACATTCCCCTAACTGCCCACCCCCCAACCACTACCACCAATACTGTTGCTAACAAAGAAAGCAAACATCCTCCCCTACTGCCTATCCCATTCTAGAAGAGTCACCTGTTGGTGGATGAATGAATGAACCTCCACAATTTGACTCTCCCTTCGGACTAAAAGATTTATAAAACCACAAAAGTTCCACCATTTAATTTCACCCTTTTATCTTTCCTTGTTAAACTGCAGTGGGGTAAAAGGGCTAGGCGTTTGGGCTACATCTTTCAGAATGCAGAGAAATAGGAGCACAGAGAAAATGTAATAAGTAGTTAGGAGGGAACTGATGGGTCCCACTCCTGAGGGGTGAGAAGGGAACAGAATTTACAGGGATAAGGGTGGCTACCAAAATGCAAAACTGGAAAATTGGACCTTTTTTTCACCTATTTCAAGTTATGACTAAAAAGTCTATATTCCAAGTCATAGAGAGAGTCGTCAAACTGAGTTAATGGGAGAGAACTGCTGGATGGGGAGATAAAACAAGCATGAAAGACGGTCTCCACCGGCACCCTGCTTATAATTTAGTTGGAGGGAGAAAACTTACGGAGTTGAATGAAACAGTCGGAGCAAGGTTACTTTGAGGCTGAATGCTGTTCACCCCACATGGGGTCCAGTCATAGTATGTGAGTTGCCATGAGCAGGATGAGCAAGCAACACCGCTGAGGTGGAAGTGGGAACTTCAAGGAGAAGAAATATCCACTGACCTCAAAGATAAGTAGGTTTGGACCAGCTAAGACTTCTCACAAGAAAGAAACAGGGCAAAAGTATGCAACAAATATATGCTGGGTGCCAGTTATGTGGCAGACACTGTGTTGAGGCTGATACTATATGAAGATGCTGTAACTAAAGCCCTTGCCTTCCCAAGGCTAATTGCCTGTTACGGAGTCTGAAATGTGCAGCATCTTTATCAAATGTGTGGAGACATTTCTGTATTCCAGAGAAACAGAATCAATAGGGTGTGTGGGTGTGTGTGTGTGTGTGTGTGTGTAGAGAGAGAGAGAGAGAGATTTTAAGAAATCTGCTCATTTCTGTATTCCAGAGAAACAGAATCAATAGGGTGTGTGGGTGGGTGTGTGGGTGTGTGGGTGTGTGTGTGTGTGTAGAGAGAGAGAGAGAGAGATTTTAAGAAATCTGCTCATGTGATTATGGGGTTGGCAAGTCTAAATCTGCAGAGTAGGCAGGCAGACTAGAAACCCAGGAAAAGTTGACACTGCATCTTGAGTCCAAAGGCAATCTGGAGGCAAAATTCCTTCTTCCTCCAGGGACCTCAGTCTTTTCTCTTAACACCTTCAACTGATTGAACATGATCCACCCACATTATGGAGAGAATTTACTTTACTCAAAGTGTATTGATTTAAAGGTTAATCTCTTTAAAAAAAATGCCATCATAGTGACTTTTAGATTGGTGTTTGACCAAATATCTGGGTGCTATGGCCTAGCCAAACTGACACATAAAGTTAACCATCACCGGGCTTCCCTGGTGGCTCAGTGGTAAAGAATCCACCTGCCGATGCAGGAGACACGGGTTTGATCCCTGGTCCAGGAGCAACTAAGCCAGGCACCACGACTACTGAAACCCATGTACCCTAAAGCCTGTGCTGTGCAACAAAAGGAGCCACCATGGTGAGAAGTCTGTGCACCGCAACTGGAGAAAAGCCTGCTCGCAGCAAGGAAGAGCCAGCACAGTCAAAAATATATAAATGAAAGTATTTTTTTTGATTAACCATCACAGAGTGGGATGTATGTAAGGACCATAGGTGGTATGAAAGCCAGACTTGGATGATTCTTGAACAGGCAACCAGCAGAAGACTATAGGGGCATATCTGGCAGTTTGGAGACAACACCACCCCATCATCTTTACCCCAAGGTCACCAAAGACAACACCTTTACCTCACCCCCCCATCTTCTTGTGGCTGGTACTTCCTTCCCAGGAAGCCAAGTCCCACCCTCTGATGTTTACACTTGCTCACCCACCCTGATCGGAAAAGCAGGGGACCCTGGTGTTTTGCTTGCTAACTCTATAGCCAGGAACGCAGACAGCACAAGTCACATTTTGCATTTTATAAAGCCCAGGTAAATAGAAAGGAAATTTCATTTTCAATTTTGAAGTCTTTTAAAGCAACTCATATTTTCTGTTTTAGGTCGAAATAAGTAACGACACTGACTCTGAAACACAGCTGCTGAACTTGACTTAGGAAGCAAAGCACCACTGACAGCACCCTCTGCATCAACACGTCTCACTTCCTTCCAGACGGGTGGACCGCACCTCCCTGCTTCTCCACGAGTCACGGAGTTCTCCGGGCACAGCCTACGTATTATTAGCCTTGTTTGCTAGATGAGTTGTAGGTGCTTGGGTGGGTATTTTTTTAGTCGTTTCCTTCTTAAAAGAAGACTTGTAATTTGTACCCCCAAAATCAGTTTTTAATTTTTTAACAATATTTAATGTGAGGCATGCGACATGAAAAAAACATTCTGTGAAAACCTTCCACAGTCAATTCTAAGAGGAATGTGGGTTTGTGTAGTTGAGGTGTCAGGTCCCCACTGCTGCCTGCAATGACCCCAGACCTGAAAGAGTTCACATGGTAGACATCACCTGGGGTTTCTCGGGAGCAAGTTAGATGACATGACAGCTGATCAATGGGTGCAGAGAGTGGATCAGGCTTTCAGACTGAGTATGGATCAATTGTTCACCCCCACCAGACAAAACAGGGAGTCCTCCTTTGTTCTCAACTTTCCAAAACCCAGAATAATTGTATGGCAATCTAAATGTTCAGATGTGTGAATGACATCTTGCTCTTCCTGTGTTCTGAAAAATTATATATCTTGGGTGTAAGAAAGAGTGAAATGACCAGTAGAACATCTTTGCCCTTTGGAGGGAATCTGGGTATCTCTGAGGTTCAGATTTTCTACCCTTTATCCCAGACCTGCCATTGGCACCCAGACCTAAATATACAGCTTATAGGTTCATGGGACAGAAATCACAACCTTAAATCTGCAATCAGAAGTGTTGCTCTTAATATATTCCAAAAAAGTATCAAAATGGCATGGAGTTCTCTATATACTTCTAAAGAAGTATGTATACTTCTATTGGTTCTACATCAACTTTTCTTTCTTCTAACCTATTCTAATAACCAAGAAAGTAATATGGGAAGCATAATTTTCCATGGAAGAAAAGGACTCTCTTGAAAATGCATCACATGTTTTTTTCCAATCTTATCTTTCAATTACTATTTCCCATATCAAAATAAGCTTTGCTCATTTTGTGCAACAACCAGGATTGGTCCTCCTAGAGGCCGTGAAATTGGGTACATGCACTACTTAATCCAGAAGTTGTTAACCTGGCCCATGAACCTCTAAGTCAGTCTACAACCCATCTTAAATGGTGTCTACTTTTTTGTATCTCTGTAGAGGCTTTCGTTTCCTACTTCTTCTTCCAAGTCCATATATCTTATGAGACCGCCTTAAGACTGAGAATTTATGCAATAAAGTCCACCCTGGTTCATGACAAACAGCGTGGGCTTTCTGGAGGCCTGCTATACTCACAGCCTCCTCTGGACTGTCTCCCATCAGTCAGCTGACATCCACTGAATCCCATCACTTCTCATTCCACTGAATAAACCAAATTCAAAATGAACAGGAGGTAGCAGAGAAAAACCAGTCCAAGTCGCCTTGTACAGTTGAGGGAGGTGAATCCTCAGGGATTTGCTGATGTGTCCAGAGTCCTGCTGTGTCCCAAGGGCATGTTTTGTGATGGCCCAAGGAAGGAGAAGCTGGAGGACAAAGACAGGGAGGGGGATGGGGGATGGCCTTGCAGAGTGCTGACATCTCAACCCTAGAGAATTCCTGTAAGTATAACAACAATCCCTCCCTCCCAAGGGTAAGGTGAGGATTAGTTGGAAATGTACCACAATTAAAAGAGGCGGTTCTCACTGTCATGTCAGAACAACAAGTTGGATCCTGTCTAGAGCTCTTGCTACCCATTCAAGTAGTGTGAAAACCCCATGCAAACTCCAAACTCTTCCAAGTTTCCTAAAAAATAGCTTAAAAAACTTGCCCGTATTTAAGAGATTAGAAATAATATTCACTAAACAGCGCATTTCTTAATTTACAAGTAATTTTTACCTTCAAATACAAGATGAATACATAGTATTACTAGGGAGGAAGCTAATAGAATATGTAAAAAATGTAGAAAATCAGTAAGACAGAAGAATAAAATTAACATTTAAATATTTTCAACTGTCATTTCATTATCCCCTCCACACATACACACACACACAAACAAAACACAGTGAACATTTCACAAAATATTACCACACTAACTTGCTTTGCCTTCATATTAATTTGAACGTACTTCTACAAAGCACTTCAGAGTCCTAGATCTTGTCTAACTGCAGATCTGAGGAGGAAATCCTTGTAATAGTCATCTTTCTATGTATATTCAATATATGGAACTACTTGATATGGTACGTGTGTTTTTAGTTTTTAATCTTTCTTCATTGAAGTTATCACTGTTTCAGACCCCGTCCCATCAATTCATAATGATAATTCTAAAGTTCCAGAAATGCTGCCATTCATCAGAAGCAAGCCAGATAGGTCTCCTGTCTGCTGTCTCTCCCCTGGAGCTCCTCTGTACCTCTCCTAGTCCCACCAGTCTTCAGAAGTTATGCTTACTTAAGACCAGTGGATGAAAAGATGCACAGGCTTTGCAGTAACAGTCAGCAGCCACCCCTTGATCTGGGTAATTCCGACACAGAACTGTCAAGCTTGCTGCCTCTCTGTTGTTCTTTGCGACCCCTGGACTGTAGCCCTGGACTAGACTCCTCCATCCATGGAATTTTCCAGGCAAGAATACTGGAGTGGGTTGCCATTTCCTTCTCCAGGGGATCTCCCCGGCCCAGGGAGGGAGCCTGCATCTCCTGCATTGGCAGGAGGATTCTTTACCGCTGAGCCACCAGGGAAGCCCCTTCCTGCCTCTTAGAAGTGAGCATTTCCAGCTTTTGCAGCTTCCTGTTTTAGGGAATCCACGCCACACCGTGCATCACACGGCAGCACTTTCAACAAAGACATGTTCCCTGTCATGTACGTTCCTGCCTCATCTTGACTTCTCTGTATGCAAGTGTGTGTCTGGTCAAAGTGAGGGAAAATGAACATATATTTTTAGCCTGGGTCCATTGGGTAGAATTTCCTCATCCTAGAAGATGATCCAGCTCCAGGTTCAAGCACTCCTCTCAGAAATGGCCCCAGTAAAGCTGGAGATGGGACACCCAGTGCCCATGAACGCCTTAGCAGTTCTCACTGTCCTGAGCGCTGATTAGAATAGCGATGGGGAAAGTTAAAAGCACTTTAATTTTCCCTCTGTGAACCATCCTGGCGTTGTGTCTTGTGAGCTTTGTCCACCCCTACCCCAGACTGCGTCTTCCATCTTGCATCAATGACTTTACCTTTCATAAGTGTCTTCTGCTGCCATTGTGCAGTTAAGATGTTTTCTAATTTACTTTCAAGGTAGCAAAAGTGAAGCAGGGGACTTACAGCAGAGGAGGGGCTGAATTAGAAAAGTCCTGAGACACAATACATAGAGGGTGTGGAACAGCCTCAGACAGATTTCTCTGATTTCCCTTTATCTGCCTGGAGTTTGAGCAGAAAGATGCAGAAAGGGCTATTCCCCTGCTGCTCATGTTCATCAAACACTTCGGGTCAGTTTCCAAAGGTCACAGTGCAGATAATGATTCAGCGTTCTTTATTTTCTACTGTTCTTATAGAGTCTGGTTTCTTCTCAGTTGCATTGAAATGTAATCTTAAAGACTTCTGTTTTCTTCTCTGCCTTTGTCCAAGGATAGAGAAGCACCTGGGAAGGCTGGAATAAAGTGAAGGTATTATGAAAAAAAAAAAAAAGGAGAAATTTCTCTTAGGAAAAACTCTAAGATAGTACATACAGAAGTGTCTTAGCCTGCCACCTGCTGTACAACGTCAGGGTATGTGTCCCTGAAACAAAAACTTGTGTCCATCACTCCAAGCTGAGAGGCTGTTGGCTTACCTGTTTTGAAGATAACTTGACATCCTGCCTAGGAAAACACTGACTTCATTCTTTTTCCCTCCAGAAAAATAGGCCCTACTATTTCCTATAGTGGTATAGTGGTGCTAGTGGTAAAGAGCCCACCTGCCAATGGCAGAGACATAAAAGACATGAGTTCGATCCCTGGGTCATGAGGATCCCCTGGAGGAGGGCATGGCAACCCACTCCAGTATTCTTGCCCGGAGAATCCCATGGACAGAGGAACCTGGCAGGTGACAGGCCATGGGGTCACAGAGTCGGACATGACTGAAGTGACTTAGCACATAGCACACATTTCCTGTAGACCTAGGTAAGGGAGGCAGCCAGTTTTAAGAGGCTGAGTCTAGCAAACTATGGCAAGACTACCATCTGTCTCTCTTAATGGATGAACCACTCATGATTGAGAGGAATTTGTCTTCATCATCATCAGCTGAAATATACATTGCAAAGCTGGAGAGAACCATCGTGATTCAACTAAACTGAGGAGGAAGTAAAAACCAAAATTGCTCATTTCAGTCTCCAAATTAGAAAGGAATCCTGCCAAGAATAAACAGATCTTCACTTCACACCTAATTTTAAAATGTATAGTGTCCCAAAATATGGATTCAGTACGGAGTAAACATTCTGACTAAGTATCTCTCAAAGGAAATACTCACTTATCATTTCAGGGTTACATAGTATGTAAATAGGAGAACTTCTGCAGTTGATTAGAATTCAAATGTTCTGACTCGACCTTTTAGCCCATGTTAGTAGCTCTTGTAATGGATAACTGAATTAAGTAAGAAACAATATCAGTAATTGATCTTTTTTAAACTTAGAATGTCTCTTTTTCTTATTTCCTTCCTGTTTAAGAGTCATCTGTAACCTTTGCTGGATTGAAGGTCTACCTATGTTCCCTGTTCAAATATTCATGATAAATAAATAAGCCTGTAACTCAAGGATATTATGCCCAAAAGTAGAACTGATAAAGGGAATCACTGCTCACATAACTGCATAGTGTGTAATGAAGAAAGGGAGTGAATGTATCTGAAATATTAGAAGAATGTATTTATTAGTAAAGAATTCTTCAAAAAACCATTCTCAAAAAAAAATTCACAATTTGTGGGCAGCATTTCTCTCTTCATCCTGGAAAAGCTTAATTTCTTTATTGTGGGCTAAGTGAAAAAAAAAAAAACTCCATTACTCAAAGGTAGGTAAATCTTCTTAAATATGGATATCTGTAGAGAAGTTTGGTGCCAAGTGATACATAAATCATCTTTCATGGAGTTGCAAGCATATAAAGAGCAAGAAATACATGAGATAATGAAGTATTCAAAGAATTCCAAATATGTTTTGGCCTGAACCTGATAACTATATTAAGTAAAAAGAAGAAGGAGAAATAAGAAGAAAAGAAAGGAAGGAGTAAAGAAGAAAAGAAAGAGAAAGAAAGAGGAGGGAGGAAAAAGGAGGGAAGAATTCAAATCTGAAATTCTACCTAGTTTGGATTTGGACACATCAGTCCTTAACTTGGGGTTATTGTTGTTGTTTCTTTGAGTGACTGAACGCTTGGACCATTTTGCATTTAGCACACACTTTTCCTTTGCTGTCTAGAATTAAGTTATTTTTATAACAGTTTGAAGAAACCAATTATCTAGTTATTCTCACAGAATTGCTTTGGCAGTCAACATTGTCAGTCTATATTTGTTAGGATTAGGGTTACTTAGGGCTTCCCAGGTGGCTCAATGGTAAAGAATCTGCATGCAATGCAGGAAACCTGGGTTTGATCCCTGGGTCAGGAAGATCCCCTGGAGAAGGGAATGGCTACCCTCTCCAGTATTCTTGCCTGGAGAATCCCGTGGACAGAGGATCCTGGCGGGCTATGGTCTATGCAGTCGCAAAGAGTCGGACACAACTGAGAACTGAAGAGCCGCAGCAGCAGCGTTACCTACAAATGACAGGAAAGGAAAACAGCAGTGACTTCAGTAAGATCCAGGTCTACATCTCTTCATATTTCAAAATCCTGGAGATAGTCAGCAAAGAGCTGGGCTTGGCTTCCCTAGAGACAGGGACCCAGGCTCCTTCTCTCTCATTGCTTCAGTATGTCTCCTGCCAGTCTCAGGATCATAACATGATTCTAGATGGCTGCCAAAGTTCC